TTCTATTACAGATTGGTTGCTGGGGTCCCTGAATGGTTAAAGCTTTTTTACCTCATAACAGGTTGGGAAGCCACATGTGCATGGTAGAACAGAGAATACCAATATGGCAGGAGGCCATAGCGCTCTCTGATGGCTTCTCGGATGAGCCGGGTGTATTCCTCCCCAAAGAGCCAGGGCTCCCGCCGCTTGGTGTTCATAGTAGCATGGCCACGGAAGAAAGGCTGGTAGGCTCCAGCCTGGTACCAACGCACTAGCAGCTCTGTCTCTGGATTCCCAATGAACCCACCTATGTCAGCTGGAAGCAAAGGAAGGCCAAGTGAGGCAACCAAGCTTTGAATAAATGAGGCACACAGGGAAATTAAGCTTTGAAGACTGACAGGAGAAAAGCATGATACATGCACTCCAAATGACTGGATAAAGCTGTGGCCTCAAACAGGGGACCCTTTACTATGTAACTCAGCATGTTTGGGGATCTGACAATAGGCTTTTAGAATATTACTTTCTTGTTAAAAGGTCACAGGCTTTATTTTAATATCAATATTCCTGTATGTTCCCAAAACCAGATAACCCAGACACTGAAAAATGTATGCCTGATTAAATAACTGTGTGTGTGTGTGTGTGTGTGTGTTTTGGAGGGGGGCAGATGGCAACTGATTTCCTTTGGAAGCAACAGCTGAACTAAGATAAAAACAGAACTGAAGAGAAGCTGATAATCAGAATTAGATGTTCTGCAGAATAGAATTCCATGTTAAGCCATTGAGTGGGATACAATACATATTCCTTGTATTGTACATGGACCAATGCCATAAAACCACATGCATCAGAAGAATGATCTTAATTTGCCTCTACTCCTACCAGAAACAAGGAGCAGCTGGAACTGCAGCCAACCTGAGCACCTTCGATATTGAGATCTCTCATCTCCACAGAATTCTTAGGATGGAGGGAAGATAGCCTATTGGGAAATCTTATTTTAACTAAATTTATCTTTCTCAAGAGCGTATCTTTTTGTTTTAGCACAGTTAAAATATGTCACAGAATTTTAAATCTGCTGAGTAGAATTTCTGTAAGACTGACTTTCTAATTTGCTAAATTCCTTGTAATTTTATTTTTCTTACTTTCAAGAAGAAAAGATAGTTGTCAGGAAGAGAAACTTAGTTATCAAGAGCATCTATGAAGGAAGAGATAAGAGGATGAGGGCATGAAGCACTCCGGATCCCTTTCTGACAACTTGATTTCATGTCCTCAACACAGACCAGACAGAAACAGCTCTAAGGCATGCCTTTCACTCAGCTTTCTAATCTGCTCCTCTTCACTTTCTCACATTTTGTCTTTCCTACATTTATGTCTGCCCACAACAGCTAATGAGAAGGAATTTGTGACCAGCTTTGATGAAAACACCCTCATTTTTAATTTTCTTACACTTCAAGCCTCAGGTAAGGACCCATCTTACCTCCACAAAAAGAGATCCCAGTAATGCTGAGAGTGAGTAACATTGGGATAGAAATTTTCAGGTAGCTCCATTCTGCTGTGTTGTCACCTGTCCACACGGCACCTTTGGTCACCAGTAACAATGTATTAAAATCACAAATCAACCATTGCCTTCAATTTCCTATGTAGATTCCTTATTTGTAAAAGATAACTTAATGAAAAGGAAAACAGATTTCTTGCCTTAAAATAAATAAATTAAAATTTTCTACAATGAAAAGTATTAATTTTCTAATGTGAAAAGTTATTAAAATCTAGAAAACAAGCATTCTAGGAAAATATTCTGAAATTGCACTTATTTTTGAAGTACAGTTTAGGTCTGATAGAGGACCCCTTTGAAAAATCAACTTTTAGATATAATTTGCATATAATACATGAGCTTTTTTCTTTTTTTTTTTTTTCTAAGACAGTCTTGTTCTCACTCGCCCAGGCTGGAGTACAGTGCTTCAATCTCAGCTCACTGCAACCTCTGCCTCCCAGGGTTCAAGTGATTCTCCTGCCTCAGCCTCCTGAGTAGCTAGTATTACAGGTGCGCATCATGCTTGGCTAATTTTTGCATTTTAAAAGAAATTTTTTTTTTTTTTTAAAGATGGGGTTTCACCATGATGGTCAGGCTGGTCTTGAACCCTTGACCTTAGGTGATCCACTCACCTCGGCCTCCCAAAGTGCTAGGATTACAGGCGTGAGCCACCGCGCCCGGCCAATTTTTGCGTTTTTGTAGAGATGGGGTTTCACCATGTTGGCCAGGCTGGTCTCAAATTCCTAGCCTTAAGTGATCCACTTGCCTCGACTGACCAAAATACTGGAATAACAGGCATGAGCCACCATGCCCAGCCTTTTCATGTGCCTTCTTTTGTAAAGTGTCTATAGAAATCTTTTGCTCATTTAAAAAAAATAAATAAGTTCAGGGGTACATGTACAGGTTTGTTATGCAAATAAACTCATGTGTCACAAGAGTTTGTTGTATAGATTATTGTGTCATTTTGTCACCCTGATGTTAAGCCTAATACCTATTAGTTATTTTTCCTGATCCTCTTCCTCCTCTCACCCTGTATTCTCAGGTAGGCCCCAGTGTCTGTTGTTCCCTCTATGTGTTCACATGTTCTCATCATTGAGCTCCCACTTACAAGTGAGAGATGTGGTATTTGGTTTCCTGTTTGTTTTGCATTAGTTTGCTAAGGATAATGGCCTCCAGCTCCATCCATGTTCCTGCAAAGGGCATAATCTCATCCATACATATATATAAATACTTTTAATAAAAAAGAAAAAAGATCAAAGATCAGATCGCAGGCAAGATATCTCGTTTTTTTTTATGGCCAGATAAAAGTATTCCATGGTGTATATATACCACATTTTCTTTATCCAGTTTACCACTGATAGGCATTTAACTTGATTCCATGTCTTTGCCATTGTGAATAGTGCTACAGTGAACAAACACATGCATGTGTCTTTATGACAGAACAATTTATATTCCTTTGGGTATATATCTAGTAATGGGATAGCTGGGTCAAATGGTAGTTCTGTTTTTAGTTCTTTGGGGAATCACCACACTGCTTTCCAAATGGTTGAACTAATTTACACTTCTACCAGCAGTGTATAAGCATTCTCCTTTCTCTGCAACCTTGCCAGCATCTGTTGTCTTTTGACTTTTTAATAATAGCCATTCTGACTGGTGTCAGAGAGTATTTCATTGTGGTTCTGATATGCTTTTCTCTATTGATCAGTGATATTGAGCTTTCTTTCATATGGTTGCTGGCCACATGTATGTCTTCTTTTGAAAAGTATCTTTTCATGTTCTTTGCCCACTTTTTAATGGGGCTATTTGTTTTTTTCTCATAAATTTGCTTAAGTTCCTTATAGATGCTGGATATTAGACCTTGGGCAGATGCATAGTTTGTAAATATTTTCTCCCATTCTGTAGGTTGTCTGTTTACTCTATTCATAGTTTCTTTTGCTGTGCAGAAGCTCTTTAATTAAATACCATTTGTCAATTTTTGCTTTTGTTACAATTGTTTTTGGTGTCCTAGTCATGAAATCTTTGCCTAGTCTCACATCCAGAATGGGATTGCCTAGGTTGTCTTTCGGGGTTTTTGTAAAGTTTTGAGTTTTACATTTAAGTCTTTAATCCATCTTGAGTTAATTTTGTATCCCACATACAAAGTGAGTCCAGTTTTAATCTTCTGCATATGGCTTGCCAGTTGTCCCAGCACCGTTTATTGAATAGGGAGTCCTTTCCCCATTGCTTGTTTTTGTCAGCTGTGTCAAAGATCAGATGGTTGTAGGTGTGCAACCTTATTTCTGGGCTCTCTATTCTGTTCCATTGGTCTACATGCCTGTTTTTGTGCCAGTACCATACTGTTTTGATTACTGCAGCCTCCTGCTTTGTTCTTTTTGCTTAGGATTGCCTTGGCTATTCAGGCTTTGTTTTTGTTTTTGGTTCTATATGAATTTTAAAATAGTTTTGTTCTAGTTCTGTGAAGAATGTCATTGGTAGTTTGACAGGAATAGCACTGAATCTATAAATCGCTTTGGGCAGCATGGCCATTTTAACAAATATTGATTTTTCCTATCCATGAGCATGGAATGTTTTTCCATTTGTTTGTGTCATTTCTAATTTCTTTGAGAGGTGTTTTGTAGTTCTCATTTTAGAGATCTTTCTGTATTTCTGTATAGCTGTATTCTGGTTAGCTGTATTCTGAGGTATTTTATTCTTTTTGTGGCAATTGTGAATGGGACTATGTTCCTGATTTGGCTCTAGGCTTGACTGTTGTTGGTGTATAGAAATGTTAATGATTTTTATGCATTGATTTTGTATCCTGAGACTTTGCTGAAGTTATTAGCTTAAGGAGCTTTTGGGCTGAGACTATGGTGTTTTCTAGATACAGAGTCATGTCATCTACAAATAGGAATAGTTTGATTTCCTCTCTTCCTATCTGGATGCCCTTTATTTCTTTCTTTTGCCTTGATTGCTCTGGCCAGGACTTCCAACACCATGTTGAATAGGAATGGTAAGAGAGGACATCCTTGTATTGTGCCGGTTTTCAAGGGGAATGCTTCCAGTTATTGCCCATTCAGTATGATGTGGGCTGTGAGTTTGTCAAATATGGCTCTAATTATTTTGAGGTATGTTCCTTCAATACCTACTTTGTTGAGAGTTTTTAACATGAAGGGATGAGATGAATTTTATTGACAGCTTTTTCTGCATCTATTGAGATGATCATGTGGTTTTTGTCTTTAGTTCTGTTTAGGTGATGGATCACATTTATTGACTTGGGTATGTTAAACCAACCTTGCATTCCAGGGATAAAGCCTTCTTGATTATGGTGGATAAGCTTTTTGATGTGCTGCTGAATTCAGTCTGCCAGTATTTTGTTGAGGATTTTTGCATCAATATTCATCCAGGATATTGGCTTGAAATTTTCTCTTTTTTTGTGTCACTGTCAGGTTTTGGCATCAGGATGATACTGGCATCATAGAGTGAGTTAGGAGAAGTCCCTCCTCCTCAGTTTTTTGAAATAGTGCCTGTAGAAATGCTATCAACTATCCTTTGTACATCTGATAGAATCTGGCTGTGAATCTGTCTGGGGTCTTTTTAACCGGTAGGCTATTTACTACTGATTCAATTTTGGAGCTTGTTATCTGTCTTGTCAGGGATTCAATTTCTTCTTGGTTCAGTCTTAGGAGGATGTATATGTCCAGGAATTTATCCATTTCTCTTGGATTATCTCCTTCGTAATTTCTAATTGTGTTTATTTGCATCTCCTCTCTTTTCTTCTTTATTATCTAGCTAGAAGTTTATCTGTTTTGTTAATTTTCTTTTTCAGAAAACCAACTCTTAAAGTAGGTTGTTTTTAAAGTAGGTTGTCTCTCTTATTATTATTGAGTTGTAAAAGTTCTTTATATATTCTAGACACAAGTATTTTTAATAGATATGTATGTATATTTCAAATATTTTTTCCTCAGTCTGTGACTTGCCATTTCATTTTCTTACCAATGTCTTTGAAAGGGCAGACATTTTTAAATTCTGATGACGTCTAACTTGTCATTTTTTTCTTTAATGACTCCTGCTTTTTGTGTTCTATCTAAAAAAAATCTTTATATATTTCAAAGCCATAAAGATTTTCTCCTGGCCAGGTACAGTGGCTCACACCTGTAATCCAAGCACTTTGGAGGCCAAGGCAGGTGGATCACCTGAGGTTGGGAGTTCAAGACCAGCCTGACCAATGTGGTGAAAACCTGTACTAAAAATATAAAAGTTAGCCGGGCATGGTGGTGGGCACCTGTAATCCAGCTACTCAGGAGGCCGAGGCAAAAGAATTGCTTCAACCTGGGAGGTGGAGGCTGCAGTGAGCCAAGATGGCACCACTGAATTCCAGCCTGGATAACAGAGCAAGACTCCAACTCAAGAAGAAAAAAAAAGATTTTATTCTATGTTTTTTTCCAGATATTTAATTGCTTATATTTTTAGCTTTTAAAATGAGTTAATTTTTGAGTTTAATTTTGAATATGGTATGAGGTAGGGGTGTAGTTTCATTTTTTCCCTACACAGATATCCAGTTGTTTCACAACTATTTACTGAAAAAAAAATTATAATTTCTCCATTAAATTGCCTTGAAAACTTTGTTGCAAAGCAGTTAATCACATATGTGTTAGATACACTGGATTTTCTACTCTATTCCATTGATCTGTATACCTACTTCCTCCCACCTCCACTACCTCCTGCTCCCCAAAGAAAACCCTGTAAAATTTGAGAGAAGAGTTACAGTCCATATAGGGGAGACATAAAAACAGTAGCAATAACAATAATTAACATTTACTGAACCCATACTGAACTAGGTGTTATGCTGAATAGTTTGCTGGTATTATCCTACTTAATCACAACAATCCTATCAGATAAACACTATTATAAACTCCATTTTACAGATGAGGGAAGTATAGCAAGAAGTGGATATATAATCTACCCAGAGTTATACAGTTATTAAGTGGTAGAGTCAGGATTTGAGCCCAGGCACTCTGACGAAGACAGTGTTCTTATTCTTGTTTACTATATAATTGCTGAGGGTTTGTGATGAGAGATTATATCTCACCAAAGAGAGCCATAAAAGGGAAAATCTTATTTTACTAAATATATACCACTCCTGGCCAGGTGCAGTGGCTCATGCCTGTAATCCTAGCACTTTGGGAGGCTGAGGGAGGTGGATCATGAGGTCAGGAGATCAAGACCATCCTGGCCAACATGGTGAAACTCCGTCTCTACTAAAAATACAAAAAAATTAGCTGGGTATGGTGGGGCATGCCTGTAGTCCCAGCTACTCAGGAGGCTGAGGCAGGAGAATTGCTTGAACCCAGGAGGCAGAGATTGCAGTAAGCCGAGATCGCTCCACTGCACTACAGCCTGGATAACAGTGTGAGACTCCGTCTCAAAAAATATATATATATATATGTATATATACACATACACATATACTACTCCTGAAGCATTTTTGTCTATCTTCTACCAAAATAATTTTGGTAGCTATTTTTGCTTTAATCTTTCATAGAAATTTTAGGATGCCCTATGACCAAAGAAAAAAAATTCTTTTTTTTTTTTTTTGAGACATTCTTTCACTCTATGGCCCAGGCTGGAGTGCAGTGGTATAATCTTGGCTCGCTGAAATTTCTGTCTCCCAGGTTCAAGCAATTCTCCTGCATCAGCCTCCTGAGTAGCTGAAACTACAGGAACATGCCACTATGCCTGGCTTATTTTTGTATTTTTAGCAGAGATGAGGTTTTACCATGTTGCCCAGGCTGGTCTTGAACTCCTAATCTTGAGTAAACTGCCCACCTGCCTCGGCTTCCCAAAGTGCTGGGATTATAGGCATGAACCACTGCTCCCGGCCACCAAAAA